TATTTGCAGATAAAACCGGGCGAATGCAGATATATATATAAACCCAAATACAGGTATTTGCGGATGAAACCAGACAAAAGCAGACATAGAACTAAATAGATAAAACCCGCGGATAATATTTATACCCGCAATTGCAGATATGTCGGATGAAAACAGATATTAATGGATATAAAACTAGCTTGGTTTTTTATCCACAATCATCCGATATTACCCCTCTTTTTCAGCAGGGATAAATTCCGGTATGCAGTCAGCTCTTAAGCCGGGTCTATAATTGTCGCAGGTCGCAGAACAAAAGCTTGCGCAAAGCACCCAGCTGACAAAAGTACCTTGCTCCATCGCCACGTCGCAGGGTGCTTTGCGCAAGCTTATGACAATTGCGACAATTGTAGACCCGGCTTTATACATGTGACGTACGTCACATGTATAAAGCCGGGTCTACAATCGCACGTGCGATCTTTTTCCAAAAGTTTCATAACCATGTTTTCAAGGACTTTAATACTTTCCTTGTCAACTGATTCGACAGCGGAACTACTGCTTTGCGTATCGTCTACGTTTACAGCCTGAACCGGCATGGAAAAACTTTGCGAAGCATTTATTTCTTTCGATTGTCGCGTAACATCTAACTACGCTTTGTTCCTGTGGAGTATGTTGCCCTCCTGCTTCTACATCTATAGCGACCATCATCGTAATTATCACTATCTGACAGTGCGAAACCACTACTGAAAGTACTCGTCGTGCTAGGACTACGACGGCTATGCCTGCGTTTTCCTATTTTTTTGTGTTAAAATGCACACACTAAGTACAAATCACTAAACTAATCGTAATCCAAAAACTTGCTGCACTTAAACAAATGCACGCACACAATACAAAATAATGTTTTTGTTAATAAGGCACTTATAAACGAATAGCCCACAATCTCCTACGAAAAACCGTGAACACTATCCAGCCGCACTGTGGTTTGTTTGCCTTAAAAGTCCGCCAAAATACGAAAAATTAATTTAAGAAAATAGGGAAAATTATGCATAGATTATATAAAGCGATAGTCCTTACAAGCAAATGTAAAACGGTACGGTACAGTAAAATGATTTGATGCAGGCAGATGCATGTTATTAACTTTTAAAGTGAGCGCTGCGACAAGAGCGAGAATCCTCCAGAGTTAAGCTAAATAATATGCCTACTTTAAGACATTGTTATAAAGTATAGCACCGATTTTTATTTTGAAAAACAGATTCAACTCAAGAAAGTCTCTGCACTCCACATCTAACTCGCAGCAGAACAGCAGATAAGACCTGAAGATGGTACATGAGATTGTACCGAAACGTCGTCAGACAAACGGTTCATTTAAGAACCAAAAACCGACAACACGGAGCAGATCCCGAAAAACCACTTACCAATTTTAGTAAACTCTTTTGACTTAGCTGATAAGTCTTAGCACAGAATTTTAAGTAAAAACCGAAACAGAGAACCCAGAAGTAGCAACATTTCCTTTAAATAGTTTTTAAATATTTGTGGCAATCTGCTGTAGGTACACATTTTTGGCCAATATTTCAGAATAAGTTAAAATTCATTGATTGATTTATCGGCGTTTGCATGTTTGGTCCATAATTGCTTTAACGGCTGCATACATACCCACACGGAACAATTACATCCAATGGATATCCAATGGATTTCTTTTATGGATATCCAGGATATACATAGGATATCCGGGATATCCAATGGATAACCATTGGATATATAAATGTCCGACCCTCCTGGACATAGTGTGGATATCCAATGGATACCCAGTGGATATAGTATTGTATGCAATAAGGTTGTAATCTGTATTCAATATGGAGATTGTATGGATATCCAATGGATAACCATTGGATATATAAATGTCCGACCCTCCTGGACATAGTGTGGATATCCAATGGATACCCAGTGCACTATATCCATGGATATAGTATTGTATGCAATATGGTTGTCATCTGTATTGGATATGGTGAATCAATGGATATTTACTTTTCAATAAATAACATTGGGTTTCAAAATTATTATTCTTTAATTTAAATATTTATTTTTATGAAAACATAAAATAGAACAGAAAACTACATATAACTAAAGAAGTGCTTGCCATCACTCCTCCAGCTGTCATTTGCCTTTTTATCAGCCTAATCATTTAGGGCCTATTTCACCTGTCTCCTTATGATCCCCAAAATTTGGCCAATCCATCAGCCCATTTGTTTTACATGGCACAATGACTAATGTACCATGCCCACCAACACTGACAGACAGACTGTTTCGACCTGTTGGGTCTCATCAGTGTCAGGCAGTTGGTGCCGAGAGACACGCTTCAAGCCAAGCAACCGCCCACCTATATACTAGTTGGGCGACCTGGACAGCGGCGAGATGCAGCGGCAAGGTAATATGGTGACATTTATCTTCTGTGTTCGCCGGCAGTGTTGTCAGACGTTTAAATAATTTCAGAAAGCTCATCAAAATGGCGGTTATATTATTAAATCTTTAATACTTAATTAATTAGTATACCTAGTATACCTATTTGACATAAATGTGGTGAATAATTATTTTAAATTTATTTAATTAATTTATTAAAACTTAATAAAGTACGGAAATATATTTCGTTTAGTTATTTTGCTTATAACCGACAACACTGAAGATTCTCAAATTCAGCGCGTGCGTAGTACATATATGAAATACAATAATAAACAAAAAGGACTTTTTTAAGTAATTTTTTATTGTATTGCAGACTGTCATAGTCATATTATTAACAGAAATAATATTATTAATATATAAATATTATTATCTGGGTAAAGTGAACATTTCAAAATTAAAAATTTCGTAGCTCTTGGCAAAAAATCAATTTAACGTAAAGTCGTTTTTTTTACATATGCTAGTTTAAACCATCACAAAATCCCACATGTATACATACAAGTATATATACAAGATATCCATATCAGTTATCCACCGGATATCCAGTGGATATCCAGTGGATATACATTAGATGTACAGTGGATATACTTTGGACATACATTAGTTATCCATTGGATATATATTAGAGATACTTTGTTGAAATTGGGTTAATAACGATTTAAATCATATTTATTAATCATTACATAAATTTATCCTATAAGGGGCTATTTTAAAAAAGAAAAAAATATTTTTAATGTTTTTGTTTTTATTTGAACATCCAGTATGGATATCCATCGGATATCCAGTGGATATCCAGTGGATATACATTAGATGTACAGTGGATATACTTTGGACATACATTAGTTATCCATTGGATATATATTAGAGATACTTTGTTGAAATTGGGTTAATAACGATTTAAATCATATTTATTAATCATTACATAAATTTATCCTATAAGGGGCTATTTTAAAAAAGAAAAAAATATTTTTAATGTTTTTGTTTTTTTTTTGAACATCCAGTATGGATATCCATTGGATATCCAGTGGATATCCAGTGGATATACATTAGATGTACAGTGGATATACTTTGGACATACATTAGTTATCCATTGGATATATATTAGAGATACTTTGTTGAAATTGGGTTAATAACGATTTAAATCATATTTATTAATCATTACATAAATTTATCCTATAAGGGGCTATTTTAAAAAAGAAAAAAATATTTTTAATGTTTTTGTTTTTTTTTGAACATCCAGTATGGATATCCATCGGATATCCAGTGGATATCCAGTGGATATACATTAGATGTACAGTGGATATACTTTGGACATACATTAGTTATCCATTGGATATATATTAGAGATACTTTGTTGAAATTGGGTTAATAACGATTTAAATCATATTTATTAATCATTACATAAATTTATCCTATAAGGGGCTATTTTAAAAAAGAAAAAAATATTTTTAATGTTTTTGTTTTTTTTTGAACATCCAGTATGGATATCCATTGGATATCCAATGGATATCGTAAAAGGCATGGATGTTATATGGACATTGGGATAGCCATTGGATATCCATTGGATAGCGTGTTCTGTGTGGGTATTTTGATATCATACGCTAGGCGAGCCACCCTAGGGCTAAAACATCTTTTGAGCCAACATCGAAGTCAAGCTACTTTGTCTATGTTGTTTATTTGCAGAGTGCGATTTCTGCTAAACATGGCTACGACATCTATAGATGTCGCTGAGAACCTCGTTCGCTGTGTTGTCACCGCTGTCTTTGGCATTACTTGCTATAAGAGCTGCTGGTGCATTTTGTTTCGAGTGTGCTTCGGTCCAACAAGGCTACCCGACACTGATGAGGACCAAAAGTCCGAAACAGGCTGTCTGTTGGTGCCTGGTTCGAAGCACATTCGAAATAAAAGCACAGTGAGCAGGGTGATTGGCATTTATATATATATATATATATAGTGCTTGCAAATCCAAGTCCGACCGGGTTGGGAAGAACGGTTGTTCAATACCCGCGTTTAAATAGTAGGAAGAGCATAAGGAAAGTTGCACGCGAATTTCCCGTTCACAGTTCAGCGGGTTATGAAGGACGTTCATTTTACGCGAGTGCAGCGCCTGCAGCCGGAAGTAGTGGTTGCTAGAGATTTTGGCTCTGGGGTACAGAACCAGTAGTTAAATTTTTACTTTAAAACATTGGGATCCTGAAGTATGACATTCCTTTTTGAAAGGTTAGTAAACACAGTCGGACAAAAGATTTTTAAAAGTTTTAAGACAACAATATTTTATCTTCTCCTAGCAATTTTAAAAGCTCCTATGTATAAACTAGGTATTGGCTGCCGCTTTTTTGCTCTCATTTGTTTACACTATTACGTAGAAATTTTTTATCAGCCCCCTTTTTTCTGTGGCGCGAGTTCTGGGACACCCTGTATATATATATGCATGCGGCTCACTTGTTAGTATTATGAATTAAGTGCTACCCCGCTTAAAATATAAAATGCTCTTCCTTATTTACTTTTAAAAGAATAATAAATTTTTATCCAAATGTAAAATAAATGTAAAAACATATTTGATTATTTTTTATTGCCTAATAAAGAATTATAAATATAAATTCACAGTTGTACTTTTAAAAAATTATCTTTATAAAATTTCAATTCATCCACACTTTCTTTGATATCATTGACTGCCCTGTGTTGATATTCCTTTTTGGGTACGGTTTTATACAGATCTGGATTCCACCTTCTGCAAATTTCTTTTAAAGTGGAAACATCTATTATTCTATAATGTAAATATTCATTTAGGGTTGGCATAAATTTTTTTAAAAACATTCTATCCATGTAAACACTATTTCCAGCTAGAGGGCTACTTCTTTCAGCCACATGTTTTTTTACAAATTCCAGCATGCTTGATTCTGCCATCTGAACTGAAATCTTTGATTTTAAGGAGGCTTCAGTAAGGTCAGTTTTTCCATGCTGATTTACACACCATTCATTCATGTTATCCAAAATTTGTTTAGGTTGGTGAATAATTAATTCAGGACCTTCTGCTATGATATTTAACTCGGAGTCTGTAATTAAACATGCTACTTCCATAATTTTATCACTTTCAATATCCAATCCAGTCATCTAATAATTAAAAGAATATTACATACATTTTAAGTGCTATTTTATTAATAATAAAAGTGGTTTTTACTTTATTAAGGACCTTAAGTTAAGGGGTATTGGCAATTGTGAGACCTTGTAACTGTGCTTTTGCTTCAAGCGTGCTACACAGACAGGCATCGACGTAGGTCTTATTAGACCTTATCAGTGCCGGATAGCAGGAATCTCAATTATTATTTTTTAATTGTTCATTTTAGTTACATGAAAAAATGATGCATACCAGTATGTCGAGTACAAACCGGCTGGCACTTGTTTTTCATAAAGAATTTGACTTGAAGAATGTTTTATATCTTTGGCAGCCTGGTATATATCGTTTTTTTAAGACGAGATTCTCTTAACGTTTTTTAGTGCTGCCAGGTTGGTACCTACAAGTTTAAACTGGCTGCCATTGATCTTCCGATAGATTTATTTCTTATAAATTTTCGATCACTTCAATAATAGAACGACAGTATCACTTGTACCCGTATATCTCTTTGCTCTACAAAATCTAAGCATGGCGGCTATAAACAGTGCATTTTAAATCCAAAAAACCTTAAAGGTAATTATTCTATAAAGTTCCGGTGAACAGAGTACAGAGTATTAAAGAGATTAAGCTCGAGGAAACAAGGCGAAAACCGGATAAGTATTTTAATAATATTTGCATGACGCTATTCGCAATACTAAAAACTCTTAAGCCTGATTTATAGATTGCCTTCCTTCCTTCCTTCCTTCCTCCCGTAGAAGATGAACAATACAAAAACAGTTGTGCTCAAAGATAAATAATGTATTATCTTTGGTTGTGCTGTCTAAAGATTCCCGTACGGGAATCTATAAATGGTACTACGATTTTCGTATTGTTCATCTTCTACGGGAGGAAGGAAGGAAGGCAATCTATAAATTAGGCTTTATTCCTTCTCACGTAAAAAAATCCGGAGGAACAACGAAAATACAATAAAATAATAAAAAACACTAAAAGATGCGAACAGAGAACAATAAACCATTACTTTAATAGCCCAAAGAATAATGCCTATTGCCTATTCAAAGCAAGTTAGACCGAAAACAAGAATAAGTATATACTTTTAAAATACAAACTCATAAATCTTAAGTAATCCCTAACTTTGTCTAGCATAAACATAATAAACCACTTATCACCTATAACTTTTAGGCATCAAACAAAAGTAATAGGCTTAAGTACCCAGAGAGCCATGCTTTGGGAAAGAAATTAGTCAACTTTTTCCCAACTAAGTTTGGACTACGATATTTTACATTTATTGGGGTTTATTTGGACATATTAATTGTATTTTCATAAAGTTTGACCAAAAATTGACATGTTTTATGCCAAATTATTTTCCAATGCGATAGCACAACAACTACACAAATATACAGTCCTAGATAGAGTTATTATTGGCCAACGTCGTTTGTAATGAAGTTTGGTCGAAAATTGGCAAAGCGTTTGTAATTCAGATTGATCGAAACTTGGCAAATAATTGATCAGCATGGAAAAAGAATCGCAATGGCGAGTTATATGTCGTTAATATTTCAAGACCTTCTCTACAAAAAGGCGTCAAAAAGTGCTTGTGTGATAGTTATTACAAAAAAATATAATCATCTGTGCACTAACTAAACGTGTTAAGTTTTAAACGGCTTTAAATTTTGAGTAAGTAATTAAGGTTAGGTATGTTTTCAAAGTTTTTAATAAAACATTAAATTATTATACAATTTCTTACTTCTCGAAGATTTTATACCCTTATTAATTTTGAAGTAGGTAATATAAATTTACATTGGTAGTTCTATATTATGTACTTATTTTTTGTTAATTGTTACAGATTTTCATCTTGAAGTTGCAGTGAAGAAAAATAACTGCCTTTTTCTAGGTAAATAGTGTTTATGGGTACTAGGCTTTTACTACAAGCAGGACAATTTAAAAATAAATTTTCTACCTATATGTCACGAAGGAAAAAGAGGATTTATTGGGTTTTAAGATCTATCGTGCTAGAAGTGAGCAAGGTAATTGCAATTTTTTTATTGAATTTAAAAATTTATTTCTTTTTTATTTTTAAAGTTCTTCATAACATAAAGTTACCAATCACAAACTATTTTTCTTAATGTTTAATAAAGCATAATTCTTGATAGCCTGATCGTAATTCTATTTGTATCATAATATTATAACAAATAAGTATAAAGGTGGATTTAGCCAGCATTTAAAGTAATGTAATGAAACGTAACATAGGTAATTTAATTTAAAAAATTGTGTAACACAATTTGTGTTGACCCGTCAAACAAGAAAAACTCAACCAAGAATACATCTGCACTTAAAGAAATCTATAGATAGGTATACAGGGTGTCCTGAAATTAGGGGGCCAAACTTAAACAGTGCATTCTTCATAGAAAAATAACACTTTTTTGTAAACATGTATCAAAAAATGGTTTTCACTTCCAAAATACGTTTTAAGACTTGTGTTTTTATATTGTTATGTTATAGGTTAGCTACTTTAAATTTGTCGCTGACGATGACGTCGTAGGCAGCGTGAATTTAATTGTCAAAGAAGCCTTCTCAGATGAAGTTTCTTCCAAAATAACGCGCACTGGACGTGCTGGTGTTGGAGTGTCCAAAACAAAAATCGTACAAGCCATTCACCGTATGTTTTATATTTTAATATTATTTCCTAGACAATTTTGTTACTTAAAGTATTTTTTAGAGAGTTTACATGAACATGATAAATTTCCTCCTCCAGGGGCTTTAGAATTCCAGAGGTCCTTTGACGTGGCCTTAAACAACGCGAAGCAACGGGTCCGAAAACAAAAAAAAGCCTTATTGCAAAAAAACAATTAAATCACTGCTTGGGATTCAACATAAAAAAACAATATTTTTTTCCAATTTTGATTATTTTAAATATTTTTTATTTATACATTTGTTTTTTTTAATATTATTTTTGACCACTGTTCCAGTATTGAAACATACTGTTTTATTTTTTTATTATTAAAAAATATAAATACAAAATTTTTTATTTACCCAATTTTCAAATATAATAATAATATTTGTTAATACTTTGGATTTGTCCAAATATTTACCAATATTTGGTCAATTTTTCAAAAGCCTAATTGCCCAAATAAACATCAAAAATTTGTCATCGTTTTTCCATGCCCAAACATTCCCAAAATTAAACCAACGGTAACCTACCTAATTTATCCAAACTGCTTTGGCATATTATTGGGCACAATTTGGTCATTTATTGTTGGCCATCGCGATTGCACAAATACCATAGGAATATACAGTCCTACATAGTACATTTATTGGCAAAACTTTTCCAAAGGTAATGGGCAATTCTTGGCCATGTTTTAACCTGATATGGCTCTCTGGGTAGCAGGTATTGATTAAAATATAATTACTAGAAAGTAACATCAGAAAACGTAATACAATGAATTACACAAAATGAAGACAACGGAACGCTCGGGCCACACATCAACCAGCATTATTAGAATTACTTCGGTAAAAAATATTAAAAACAAAAAAAAAACAAAATTTAAAAACTATTGATAACGATCGGTAAATGCATTACCGACCATCGAAAACTATATATCGATAGTGCACGAACTCTACATTAAAGAAATGGTTTCACACAGTGGGGCAAATTTGCATACAGCATTTTCCGATTTTCAGCAGACTCGGACACAGATGAACATGAAGTACTACGAGACCAGCAAGGATAGGTTGGTTTGGGTGGGGTTGGGTCATGGCAGCGTACTAACGAGCAAATTCAATTCAATTGAATGGGGGTATTAATAAATCCCTGGTTGAGGGAAATTTCTGATTGTACTTAATTTTGGGTCAGTCTAATGTCCCCCAAAAACCAAAATGTTTTCCTCTGTCCCGCACTCCACTAGCCTAAATCGGGCTGGCCCGGCCCGGCGACAAAATTTTGGAAGGGCCTTAACCATCGAAACTTTCATCCACGACCCAAGAAAGATTACCAGCCGCACAGTGTTTCAATTCTGGAAAATATCGGCAAAACCTCAAAAATTTACATTTTATTTCAGGTAAATTTTGAGTCAGATGGGTAGTTAATACCTGTCTCCATCCTGTATTGAAAAAAAATTATATAAAATATGTATATTTTGTCTTGTACATCAGTTTAAACTTGACGCTTTCAGTTGAAGGTACTTTACACGCGATCGCTGCGGAAAATTGTTTATTGTTTAAAAGTGAATAACTTGTGTTTGGTGTGTCCAATTGTTATGCGGTTTGATAAAGGGTGATCTTCAAGGTATCTAAAATTTAGATATGTATTTGTTTTTCGCAGATTTTGCTTGTACAACGGGTTATTGTAACCGACAAGATCGGTCTGTTAAAATCGCAAACTTTGAATCGAGCATTTAGAACAATGGAGCTACAAAAATTGTAATGAATTGTAAGGCATCAGTTCAAGATCCGTTGAATAGCTTAGAGTTTTGTCTATCAAGCCATCAATAAATTAGCTGCCCCAACTTGCCCCCGGCTCTTTAAAACTACATGTTCTTGGGCGCTCAGGCACGGTTGTGGTAAAAAACCTCGCGATTTTAAGCGTGTCGAGCGCGTATCTGTGTTTTTGCTTTACAAAATATAAGATTTTTTTTTATTTCTGGGTTAAGTTCATGACGTTTACTCAATTCACTCGGATTTAACTCAAAACGTTTATTACAACAGCGGTGTCTAGACTTTCACTTGCGTAAATCGTTCGTGACTACTAAGATAGTTAACACCGATTTTACATATTTAAGCCACCTCTTGTAGGTGCGTTAAAACAACTCCGCATGCGCATTGTAGTGTGTTAATGAATTTGAATTGTGGTTATTTGTGTTGACAATTTTTTTAGCGAATTAAGAAATCGTTGCTAAAATATTATATTTAAATTTTATAAATAAAACGATGGAAGATGTTTTCCATTGGCTTATGGCATCTTCCGATCCGTATATTTCTAGCTTCAGAAAAATTGATTCGAAAAAGA